CCTGAGCTGAAGGCAGTCGCTTAACCAACTGAGCCACCCAGGCGCCCCTTGAAGGCACTTTAAACATTAAGGCAATTGGGAGTTATTTCAAAAAATGTGGTTATGTGCACATCAAAGAATGCTATTCAGCCAGAAGTAATAACAGGTCTCACCTTTATAGATAGGGATAGATTTCCAAAGGAAAATAATAAATAGAACAAGATGTACCACACAGGGTCGTTTATGCAGATTAAAGACATACACAAGCCGTCTAGTTTTCAAGAGCACACATAGATAGAAATAAACATAAGAATGGCGGCTGGTGAGTGGGGGTAGGGCCTTTGCGAGTCTGCTCTGCTCAGATGCTTCCAGACCTGTGCATGGCCATGGGATGGCCAGGGCACTGCAGCTGTGGGCAGCATGGCAGGGTGGCGCTGTTGGCTTAGTGAAAAATTGGGTCTGGACCCTCCATGGTAGATCCAGGTTCTGCTAAAGGCACTTCGGTGATTATTTTATAAGGGAGTCACGCAAGACTTTCAGGATGGTGTTGTGGGGAACATGGAAGGAATTTTGCGGTAAGGCGGGACCTCACCCTGGGCAGGCAGAGTTCCATGCCCTTTGAGGAGCTAGCACAGATGTGAAGCTTACCCCCAACCCCCCTTTCAGTGTATCACAGTAAAATATTGCTTTTCTAAGATGTGTATGTGTCAGAGTGCTCATTTTGTTAAAACCTGCAGCCTTTGCAGAAGGATACTTAGAAAATACTCTAGACCAGGAGGAAAGTGGGTTTAGGATCGGATTAGGGGAAAATAGAAGATGGGCTTTGCATAGACTGATAGGAGTATCCCATAAACCAGGAAATGTCATCAGTTTAATTCGGTGCACCTACATACTTAAAAATTAAAATTCTGCCATCAAGATAATGGGCCAGTGCAATTGTACAGAGCGTGTCCGACATCCCGTTGAACGATGCTGCTCTCTAACTAGTTACCAAGAGAAAGGCTGGTAAGGTACACCCTGCAAACCCACTGTGTCAGTATTTAAGGATTAATCCGTTCAGTCTCTTTCCATCAAGATCTGATCAGAAAGAAAGATAGAAACCAGTTCTAAGTTGTTTGTGTGTGTGTTTTTTTTTAAACGGAATGACCAGCCCAGTCAGCTGTCTAAGTAGATGTTGGGGGACAGGAGAAACAAAAAGGAGCACAAAGACAGTAATGGCGGGAAGCAGCTACTGCCCCTGGGACTGGGGTGCTGGGAGGGGTCGGGGCACAGAGCAGGGCTTGAAGCTGTGAGAATCTAGAAGCTCAGCCAAGAGAACCCCCGCAAAACTGCAGCCCATCCTCTCTGCGCAGCTGCTGCTGGTTCCTTTGAGGGCATGACAAGGCTGGTTAGGGGAATTTAGATAAAAAGCTGGCATCAACTTGCCACTGGAAGGGTGAAGCAGCATCACCGAGGACTTGTGTAGGGGACGGCAACCCAATAGGAAGGAATGGTCTTTCCTTCCTCCTGCCTCCTAGCCTCCCTCCAATGTTTCAGCAGAGCCCAGCCAACTGGCAAAGGAGAAATGTGGTTTGCAGAGTGCTCAACCCATCACAGAGTTGGCTATCGAAGGCTGGGGTTGTAGCTCAGAGACAAGAGCTTAAATACCGGCATGAGGGCCAAACTAAATTTATGCCAAATAGGTCATTTAAATTCAGGGGAAAATTGTAATGTTGTTGTGCTTAATATTATTCTGCCAACCCCAACTAGTATAGTGAAATTAATTTGTGGTGCTAATAACCCAGAGTTAGCTCAGGCCCTGCAAGCTAAAGGGAGTGGTCTATAACAAGACTGCTCTCCCTTTAGATCAACTGGCTGCAAATCCTGGGGGCTACCTACAACCCCCCTCAGATTTTGTAATTCACTCAAATGTTTCATAGAGTTCAGGAAAGCACTGCACTTACTGTAAAGGATACAATTCAGGAACAGCTGGTGATGACACACATGGAGTGAAGTCTGGAGGTCTCCCAAATGCAGAGTTTCTATGCCCTCTCCTCATGGAATCAGGCCTTGTCACCCTCGCCAGTATTAGTTTGTTCACCAACCAGGAAGCAGCACTGACTTGTGTCCAGAGTTTCTACTGGGGTCTCATTACATAGGTATTACTGATTTAATCACTGGCTACATCATTAAATGTAGTCCCCAGCCTCCCAACCGTCCCTGGAGGTGGGCCTAACTGACAGCCCCGAACCTCTAGTCACATGGTTGGTTTTTCTGGGGACTAGCCCCCATCCTGAGTCATCTCATCTCTTAGCACAAGCTCAGGTGTGATCCCAAGGGGCTCATGAATAACAAAGACAGCCCTGCTTGGAAGTTCCAAGGATTCGGAACCTCTCTCCAGGACCAGGGACGAAAACCAGTTAAATTTTTTATTATACAACATCTTACAAACAAGAGAATAAGATATGCCCAAATGCATTTGGCAAAACAAGTTCTCATTCCAAGTTTTAGAAGCATAAAAGAGAATAGGAAATTACTGCTAAAAAAGCCTTGAAAAGCCATTTGCCAATGCTAATAAGGTAGTTTGGTACATTAATAAGTGAGTTTTTTCCCAAAGCTTTCTCGTAATTAGAGCTTAGAAACCCATTCTTCTAGAGATGATCTTACCCCACGGTTATTAGTTCTCAGTCCAGTTTACAAAACTTAATAGTAATCCCATAGTAATAATAACTGGCATTTATTGAGATGGAAATCTGCTATATGCCAAAGTATTATTCTAGATGCTAGGAAGTGGTAAGGATAACAGAAGATGGGGAAATCGAGACGCAACATTATGAGAAACTGTCTTTTTCAGTTACCCATAGAATTTTTTTTTTTTTTTTTTTAAGATTTTATTTATTTATTTGACAGAGAGACAGGGAGAGAGGGAACACAAGCAGGGGGAGTGGCAGGGGGAGAAGCAGGCTTCCAGCTGAGCAGAGAGCCCAAAGCAGGGCTCCATCCCAGGACCCTGGGATCATGACCTGAGCCGAAGGCAGATGCTTAACAACTGAGCCACCCACGTGCCCCATCTATAGAATTTTTTCAAAAAAATATTTATTTGAGAGAGAGAGACTGTGTGAGCAGGAGGGGCAGAGGGAGAGAAAGAATCTCAAGCAAGCTCCCAGCTAAGCACAGAGCCCAAGGCGAGGACCCTGAGATCGTGACCTGAGTTGAAACCAAGAGTCACACTCAACTGCCTGAGCCACCCAGGCACCCCGGTTACCTATAGAATTTTTAAAACATAAGTAGTCATTGCATTCCTGGATAAATATTCTGAGAAAAAAACAGCCTCAACATTGTAGTAAGAATAAGAACATATATGAAGATGCTTAACATAGTTTGTACCATTAAGCAGTTGCTCAGTACATGTTAAGAGAAAAAAAAATTCGTCCAAGGCTGGACTCAGTCTAGAGTACCAAAGTAGACTGAGGACTCAGCATAAAATATGCATAAAAGTAGAAAAAATAATACACTTGGTCCAATTACTTAAAGATGGTAAAAAGCTACTAGGACTGTATTTTAGCAGGTGATCAAGATCTAGGGTAATAGAAATGAACTGTCCAAAGTGTGCAGATGTGTGCCAGGAAAGTATAGCCTAGTGGCTTTTTTAAAAGTATAATCTGCTGTGATGTGAGAAACAAAGGCAAAAGAAAAATCAAGTTTCCTTACTACTTATAGCCCATTGACAAGTCCTTGAAATAGGCAGAGTGACATTCCTCTAGGAACTCAGCTGCCTCGATGTTAGTACTTTGCTAAGGGCCTGACCCCCAGGATCCTGTAAGTCTACTTTGACATATAAAAGTTCCTTTGGAAACTTCCTTTATCTCTACCCACCAAGATATATGTTGGCAATCATCCCCCAAGCATATGACCCACTGATAATACATCTGAAGGGTCTCATGACTGAGTTTTTACTAAACAGTAATAAATGACCTTTTCCTAACAACAGCTGGCCCCCTCAAGGTCCTGGAAACCTTGTTTCCAAAATACCTGGGAGGCTTGTGCTTTCCCTAACCCCCTCCCAACTTGAAAGGACATAATGGGCCACTCCTCACGACTGAGTGCAGCTCCTTCTGCCCACGGGTCCTGTCCCCGTGCTTTCATAAAATCACCTTTTTGCACCAAAGACGTCTCAAGAATTCTTTCTTGGTCATTGGCTCCAGACCCCAACATCTTTCCTACATCATAATGGAACAAAGTAAACAAAGCCTCAAGTTTACATTTATTTACATTGCCTAATATCTGTGGGTGATTTTATTTATTCATTTGACAATCATGTAGTCAGCGTCCAGTGCCGAGCACGATGCTGGACAGAGAACCCAAGATGACCCACACGTGGTTCCCGTGTGCATGGAGTTAACAGCCAAGGAGAAAAATCTTTGCTGTCACAAACTGGAAGCATAGTGCGGGCCTACCCTTCAGCGTGTGGTTGAATGCATTAGGATGTGAAGTGATCTTACAAGAAAGATACTCAGGTGTTAAAAAGGATTGTGTATGAAGAATTTAGTGAGCTAGGGAAATGTCCTGTACAGCTTAATAACAAATGGAAGTTCAGAGAAAGGGGGAAATCCTATTATCATGTATAGGTACACATGGAAAACCTCTACTATCACATATACAAATATTTCATTGTTGATTTTTTTCCCCCTCTTAGAGCATGGGTATTGTATGAAAATTGTGATGTTCACGCTCCCAGGGATGGTGGTGGGCCTGTGGTTGTGTGAAATTACGCCACCTCTCTGCCTCAGGTTCGCTGCCAGTAAAAGGATGGAAAGGCCACATAATTCTCAGTTCACATGTAAGACTGGCTCAAAGATGTGTGCCCTACACCCTCCCCTCATGAAGAGGGTGATTAGGCTTACACAAAGCCCTTTTCTGAGGCCCTAAACATTTCTAGACAACGTGTGGTAGAAAATAGTCAACGTATTAGAAAGAAAAATTTCTCCTTGGAAAAAAGCTGTTGCTGGATTTTCTAACCATTGTTTATTCTCACTGTCTAGGTTACCCTTTCCCTACTGCTCCTCCTGTGGATCCATTTGCCAAAATCAAAGTGGATGACTGTGGAAAAACTAAGGGATGCTTTAGGTTGGTAGATCTGTGAGTTGGTTAACTTTAAGGCTAAGGCACTGATTTACTTCTCAAGGTAGTATTTCAATCGCGTATAGCTCATTCTCATCAGGGGCCTGCATCCCCTCATTGCTTCAGCCTGTTTCCGATGGCCACTCCAGTTTTCAGTCTTAGAGGCCATAAGCTCTCGAATGCTCCTTGGCACTGGAACATCCTTCTCTGGTTTTTCATTTATGACCATACTGCCATTGGCCCAGGTATCTACTCCTGCCCAGTTGGCTGTATGAAAAAGAATCAGGTGACATGGGCTGTGCATTACTAGCTGGGCTGTGAGCGGGACAGACCATGATTGACACATTTAAGACCCAATTCCTTTTCAAATAAAGAGTCATGACTTTGGGGTATCTGGATGATACTAACTAGTCGTGAACACTGATGATTGTAGCGAGCTTGTTATCTCAGATTTAGGGAGTCCCCACGTGATTACTAGTCATGCTCTATCAAAACATGATGGGCTGGAGCTAGCAAACACTAGTAAAGACGGTGAGCCTCCCAGCCAGACAGCTCCGCTTTGTTGGAAAAGCCGCCTCCTCTTTGAAACTGTTATTTCCTAAAATAAATTGTCCTTGCGTAAAGGTTGTGATGGGTACTGCACTGAAAGTTCTGGATGTTTTTTTTCTTTTGTTCAGTGCTCAAGGCCAAGGAGGAAAAAAATCGAATAAAGGGGTTTTGAGTTTTCTTTGGATTACAAGGGTATTTCTAAGGAATTTAAAAAATATATATTTTATTTATTTGAGAGAGAGAGAGAGAATGAGAGAGAGCACAAGCAGGGGGCAGGGGCAGAGGGAGAAGCAGGCTCCCCACTGAGCAGGGAGCCCAATGTGGGACTTGATCCCAGGACCCAGGATCCCAGGACCTGAGCTGAAAGCAGACACTTAACCAGGAGCCCCTCTTAGGAATTTTTAAGAATACAAATAATACTATTATTGAGGAAGATGGCCAGCAATGTTAAGTCTGGTGACTGGGGGACATTTTTGAGAAGGGAGGGAATTTCAGTAGCTCCTGGCTTCAGGGTGACTTGTTTTCTGGCCCATTCGTTCCTCCTTTAGCTTTCCTTACACTCATTTAGCGTTTTTACCCAGTTCTACACTGTCCTGAGCTCACATCTCTTCCCAGCCATTCAGGGTCCCTGCCTGGCATGTTCCTTGCCTCCCTCTTCAGTCAGTGCTTGGCAGCTTTGTGCCCTGTTCCTTCAGATAACCTTCCACCTGAGCTTCCCTTGTCCCACCCATTGCTACAGTTTTCTGTTCTTCTGAAAATGGCATAAAACAATGTCCCTCTCACTAGGGCTTCCCGATTCTTAAAGGATCCACAAGTCCCCTGGAAGAAAATTTAAATTTGAGTTTCCATTTCAATCATGCCCCTTACAATGATGAATGTATGCATAATCGGATTATCTGGATAACCAGTTTATGCTGCTCGGTACTCTGGCGTCCTGATTGGTAATTGTGTGATAGCCTGATAGAGCCAAGGCAGATTTTATAAATAAATGATGCATTCATGCTCAGTGAATACCAGATGAGGTATTCATTTGATGTATGTATGAGGGTTTTGCAACCTCTCAAACGGATAAGAGTGGGGGAAAGTGAAATCGTGTTTAGTAGTAAGAAAGTGCTCATCCAAGGGACCCTGCACAGTGTGGTCCGATATACCCCATGCAGGTAAGCAAAATCTACCTTCAGTAAGATTACACCATCCATCACACGGATGCTGAGAATTTAAATGTTCCTGCGTTTGTAGTTTAATTTATATTTAATTTGTAAGTTTTTGTTAATTTAGTTGTATGAAAATTTCTAAGTAAAAAAGAACTGGTATATATTTAATTCACAAAAACAGTTTATTAACTCTGAGAATTTCTTCCTCTGAAAGGGATTCAGAAATAACTCAGTAATAACGACTATCTGAGAAGCTCTAATATAATGTTGAGAACACTGGCCGGGAGTGGAGGCCCAGATTCAAGTCCTCCAGCAGCTACTGACTCACTATGCAAGCAAGCCCCTTCCCATCTCTGGTCCTCAGGTTGTATGTAGATAGAAAGGAACAGATCTTTTCCAAGATCTCTCCCAAGTGAAACTGTGGTTTTTCAGATCCCTGGTAGCAAAGATCTCATTTACTTGGTAATCTTGCTTCGCTCTGCCTGATACACTGTTGCCTTCTTAATGTGTTGTGAGTAAGGAGATGAAGCAGCAGTGCTGTGTTTTGATCTCTCCTGCAGATACGGCAAGCCAGGCTGTAATGCGGAGACGTGTGACTATTTCCTTAGCTACCGGATGATCGGGGCCGACGTGGAATTTGAGCTGAGCGCTGACACAGATGGCTGGGTAGCAGTTGGATTCTCTTCAGACAAGAAAATGGTAAGATGCAAATCATGATAAAAGATGATTTTTTTCTTCTTTAGTTTGCTGTGCTGCTTTAGATTTTGGAAAATGGGCATGGTTTCTCCAAGCCACCATGCCACTATTAAATGTGTGGATTTCTAGCAATTGATCTTCTTTTTCAAAACAAGGGAAACAAATTGACAAAAGCAGTATAACAATTACATTAGTTACGGCTCTCTGATTGCAAGTGACAAAAAATTCAAGCCAGCTTAAACAGAAAAGGAAGGGCTGGTTATGGGAATATGAGGTATCTCGTGGTACCTGCATTTATTAGTTATCATGGCAGCGATGCTGCAAGAAAAGCCTCCAAACCACATGGCTTATTAGCATTTATTTCTTGTTCACGTGTGTGTGAATTGGCTAGGGTTCAGCTGGGCTTGGCTCCAGCCCATGAGTTGGATTCAGGTTTTCTCTAATCATTCTGGAACCAGCAGCTACCAAGGCATGTGGTTTTCATGGCAGAGACAGAAGGGCAAGAGCCCTCCAAGCCTATTTCAAACCTCTGCTCTCGTCCCACCTGCTAACATTTCATTGCCCAAAGTAAGCCACACAGCCAGGCCCAGAATGAAGGGATAGGGAAGTTCACTCCCCTGCCCAAGAGGCCCTGTGAAGGGGCGGCTGTGTACTAGTATTACTGGGGAATGAAGAATCAAGTCCAACAACTCAGTCTCCCACAGTACGCGTGGGCAAGAACGCCGCTGGACCTCAGAAAGACCAGAGACAAGGAGCAGGACCAGGCAGGGCATGCAGATCCTGGAGTCCCGGGATCGAGTCCCGCATCGGGCTCCCTGCTCGGCAGGGAGTCTGCTTCTCCCTCTGACCCTCCCCCTTCTCACGCTCTCTCTATCTCATTCTCTCTCTCAAATAAATAAATAAAATCTTTAAAAAAAAAAAAAAGAAGAAGAAAGACCAGAGACAAGGAGCAGGACCAGGCAGGGCATGCAGATCCCAGGCAGCGATCGTCACTTACCTCTGCTTCTCTCTGTGCCTCTGCTGTCTTCTTCCCTCTTCCCTCTGTGATACCATCATTTGCCACCTCACTGTGCCAGGGTGCTTCCAGAGCCAGACTTCCTTGGGCCCCTGTACCTTTGCACAGGCTGCTGCTCTGCCTTCTTCTTCTTTTCCCCTGCCCTGTCTTGAGGCTCCTGCAATGAGTGGAGGCCAGCTCAGACAGGCTTACCGCAGTGGGAGTGGTGAGAAGTGCTCCCATTTGGGATATGCTTTGAAGTAGCTCTGACAGCATTCGCTAGTGGATTGGAGAGAGGTTGTCGGTGGGTGTTAAATAGAGACTGGGGGATCAGGCTAAGCAGTCAGAACCCCGGGGGCTTTGTTCTCGGAAAGGGCACCAGAAGGATGAGCTTCTACCAAAGCCAGTCCAGGCAATAAGACAAGGGGCCTAACTGGTAAGATTGCATGGATATGAATCTGCATGTCTTGTCTCCTACTTTAGGGTCAGTAAGAGAGAAACAGCAGGTGTGTACCATCCCGGAAGCTGGCTTGCAATGCGATTGACCGTTTCCTGTCCTAGAATGCGTTTGCCCTCATGGTGCAGGTGTTAAGATTAGGGCGCTCAGAGGACGGAGGTTGAGTAACGGCATTCAAATTTTGTGTGTGACTTTTTTTTAAAAGCTCTATTTATTTATTTTAGAGAGCATGAGCAGGGGAGGGGCGAGGGAGAGAGAGAATCCTCCAGCAGACTCCCTGCCGAGCACGGAGGCTGACGCAGGGGCTCGATCCCAGGACCCTGAGATCATGGCCTCAGCTAAAACCATGAGTCAGACACTTAACCGACTGTGCCACCTGGGTGCCCCTATGTTTGACATTTTGCTCTCTGAAGGCCTTTAACAGATAAGTCTCTCTTTTCTTCTCCTATTGGTCCAAGGAGAAGCATAGCTGAAAATTTTTTCAAAATTTGATGTAAAGGAAAAGCAAAATGGAACCCCTTTTTAATAGCCTTAAACTTTTTTTTTGAAATGGTACATTATTGTTTTTTTTTAAATAAGACTTGATTTTTAGAGCAGTTTTAGGTTCACAACAAAATTGAATACAGGGCTCAGAAAATTTTCATATACTCCCTGCCTGCACACATGGATAACCTACCCCATTATCAGCATCCCCCACAGAGTGGTACATTTGTTATGGTTGATGAACACCTTTAACTTTGGGGACCTGGGTTTTTTTTGTTGTTGTTTTTTAAGATTTTATTTTTAAGTAACCTCTACATCCAGAGTGGGGCTTGAAACTGCAACCCTGAGATCAAGAGTCTCATGCTCCACCAACTAAGTCAGCCAGGTGCCCCATTTTTTGGACTTGTTTTTACTTAAATGTACAGGGGGCACCTGGTGGCTCAGTCGGTTAAGCGTCTGCCTTCGGCTCAGGTCATGATCCCAGGGTCCTGGGATCGAGCCCCGTGTCAGGCTCCCTGCTCCATGGGAGAGTCTGCTTCTCCCTCTCCCTCTGCCGTTCCCCCTTGCTCATGCTCTCTCTCTGTCTCTCTCAAAAAATAAAATCTTTAAAAAAATTAAATGTAAAATGTACAATCTGCAAGGATAGTGCAATACATATTCTTCACCCAGATTCACCAAACAACTTTCTTTTTATTGTGGTAAAATGTACATGACATAAAATCTACCATCTTAACCATTTAAAAATGTACACTTCAGTGGCGTTAATCATGTTCATGGGGCAACCAGCACCACTGTCTACTTCCAGAACTTTTTTTTTTTAACAAGTGATGACATTTTGCCACACATGCTTTAGCTCTCTCCCCTGCTGTTGCTGCTGCTATTTTCATCATTTTCTGGAAACTTTGGAGATTCAACCTATTTGTTAAAGTCGGGAAGTTTAACATTAACATGATAGTATGGTCAAACATAGTGCCCATTTTCCAGTGTTGCCCATTGTCCTGATACTACCCTTCATAGAAATTCTTATTTTAGGACTTAGGATTCTGTCTAGGAACACTATTAGTTGTCATGAATCCTTAGTCTTCTTTATTTTGAAATCGTTTCTTCGCCTTTTGTGTGTGTGTGTGTGTGTGTGTGTGTGTGTGTGTGTGTGGTCTTTCATGACTGACATTGGCCCTTTTGAAGATTACAAGTATTTTTTTTAATACTTTTTATAATCATTTTTTGTAGAATGACTCTCAGTTTGGGTTTGATTGTTTCTTCATGATTAGGTTCGGTTTGCGTTTTCAGCAGGAATACTAAATAGCTGGTGATGTATTCTTTGAACAGTCACAAATCCATCAAATTATCCTATAATTTAGCACTTGATGTCCGCTTCTGCAATGCTAACTTCATCACTTGGTTAAAGCTTTTTTAATAAAAATAATTTTGGAGGGTGGGATTTCAAATTTACAGAGATAATGAAATGGATATATCTGAGTGAAATTTCTTTCTAGCAGAGACGTTTGTAAAAGACGCACCTTTGACTCTTTCCTTCATCGTTTTTCATGGTAGGGTGGTGATGACGTCATGGCCTGTGTCCACGATGACAATGGGAGGGTCCGCATACAGCACTTTTATAATGTAGGCCAGTGGGCAAAGGAGATCCAGAGAAATCCTGCCAGAGATGAAGAAGGAGTCTTTGAGAACAATCGGGTCACCTGCAGATTTAAACGCCCCGTGAACGTTCCCAGAGATGAGACAATTGTCGATCTGCATTTGAGTTGGTATTATCTGTTTGCCTGGGGTCCAGCCATTCAGGGTAAGCTTACATTTTGGCATCTGGATTAAACTCCAGACACTGCTTTGCTTGTGTTCATTATTTATTGGGCAAGAGCAATAAGCCCTTTGGATAGTGTAAAAGACAAAGGAGATAGGATCCTGCCTTTAGGAAGTTGTAATGGACTTATTATACACATGGACATACAAATGGACAAGTAATATGCGAACGTAGTTGGCACAGTACAAGGTAGTATGTGATGAGCTCTGCGCTTAATGGAACAGATCATGGGTCTGCTATATGTGGTGGTATGTGCTAATTCTCACGACATTCTCATTTACTCCTCACCACATCCTTGAGTGGTATAGATATTATCATCCTCGTTTTAGAGAGATTAAGGAACTTGCTCAAGGCTATACAACTAATTAATGGAAGAACTAAAATTCAGTCCTAGGTCTGACTGACTCCAAAGTCAGTGAGTACTCTTAGCTCTTAGGCTCTAAATATAAAAAATATTGAACAGGAAAGGACATCTGGAGACTTCTGTAGAGACTGACACCAAGCATCCCAGTAGTGTTCACTTTATGACCATTCTGGTAGTCACAAGTCCATCAAATTATCCTATAATTTAGCCCACTGCTCCTCAAATTTTAATGTGTACAGGAATTGCCTGGCTATATCATTAAAATGCAGTTTCAGTAGGTCTGGGGTGGGACCTGAGATTCTGCATTTCTAACCAGCTTCCCAGTGGATGCTGGTTCATTGACGACCTCGCTTTGGGTGGCAAGGCTTTTCAGCAGATCCCCCACAAAGACCCAAGGATATCATGAGACCTTTTGGAGGCTGCCAAAATCAAGTTACATGGTGTCTTCTGCAGTCCTCCTGGCTGATCAAGCCTAATGGCCTAAGAACGGAAATGAGTTCTTCGTGGTGCTTGTAGGAGAGGCTCTGACAGTTGTGTCTTTCTTTACTGTGTGCTCATCAACTTTCAGTTGCCTAATCTGATCTAGGTTTGTTTTTTTTATCTTCTTCTTCAAAATGTTTCCACTGGTTGGTCTGGAGATTTTATACCTTCTTTGCCTGTTTCTTTCTTTTTTTTTTTTTTTCCATTCTGAGAGAGAGAGAGAGTGCGTGAGTGAGCGAGAGCATGAGCAGGGGGGAAGGTCAGAGGGAAAGGGAAAAGCAGGCTCCCCAGTGAGCAGGGAGCCCGATGTGGGACTCGATCCCAGGACCCTGAGGTCATGACCTGAGCTGAAGGCAGACGCTTAACTGACTGAGCCACCCAGGTGCCCCCTTTTTTGGGGCTTGTTTCTAATTGGGAAAACATTTGGATGCCTCAGATGGCATCCAAAACATTTGGATGTGACACCTTTCCCATTTGTTTATTTCCCAGGATCCCAGCAATGGATCTGCAGTTATGTCTTTGAGTACTTTCAGTACCTATATCTCAGCCTAGAGAAATGGACCTATTTAAAATGATGGGGTTTGGAGCCCAAAACATTAGATTTGAGTGCAGGTTTTTCCCATTGGTAGCTATACCTGGCCTTCCTCTAAATTCTGAACTCCCATTTCTTTGTATCTTAAATGGGGATGATGAGAATACCAACTTCAAAGGATCATTGGAAGCATTCAGTGAAAACAAGTATTTGAAGTTCCTTTACAATTTGGAAAGTGTTGTACTTGGGAAAGTCATCGTCTCACATAAATGGAATAATAGCCTAACAGTCTAGGCCCTCCTCAAGTCTGATCCCTCTTTGCCTGATAAGCCCTCCAAGACTCTGGGTGTTCTTACTGTCCTCAAACAGAACAGGCATATTCCTACCCCGTATACAGGCTTGTGCACCCTTTTTTGATTAAATCCCTCTCAGTTGATCAAATCCTATCCGTTCTCTTAAAGTCTCTCAAAGGGGCTACACTTTAAGCTAAGGCTTAAAGGGGATATGGGATTAGGTTTCCCTCAAGGGCAGTGTTGCTGGGTGGTTAAGCCTAGGAGCCCATGTACATGACCAATGAGGGAGGTTAGGTTAGATGGGAGAGGGGAGTGCATCTGTTGAAAGAAAAATGTCTGCCAACCTGAGGAGTTAGACTTGCGCTAACAGGAGCCAGCACAGAATCTGGAGCAGGGAATTAACGTGTCCAATTTGGCAGGGCTTCCCTAGCAGACAGGACTTTAAAAAACACTCACTCGGAGCCCTGTTTCCAAGGAGACCTTTCCACTGAACTCACACACCTGTGGTCTCCCTAACCCAAGTTCCATGTGGCTTATTCAGGAGGCCAGGCACATTGAATAAATATCAGCTTTTTTTTTTTTTTTTGAAGATTTTATTTGTTTATTTGAGAGAGAGAATGAGAGAGAGAGGGGGGAGGGTCAGAGGGAGTAGTAGACTCCCCGCGGAGCAGGGAGCCCAATGCGGGACTCGATCCTGGGACTCCAGGATCATGACCTGAGCCGAAGGCAGTCGCCCAACCAACTGAGCCACCCAGGCACCCCAAATTTCAGCTTTTTAAGCATCCCATGTACACAGCCTTTCCCTCTTTACACATCTAACCAAGTTAAAAAAAAATGTCTCTAGTCCAGACATTTGTTTGGTATCTTAATCTTCCTGCTACCTCACTCTGCTTCTCAACCATACAGACACGCACACAGCACGCCCACATGCTCTCCCGTCTGATCTGGGCCGGCCACCACGTCATAGCCCACAGACAGTGACAGAGACCTCCATCTAGAAGCAAGTATGGCCTGGTCAGGAGTGGTTGATGATCCATATATAAAAGATATGTTTGAGGGGAAAAAAGAGTAGCTCTTACTGTTTGAAATCAACATACAGTTCTCCTTATGGTATTAGTAAGATAAAACTCATTAGAGACCTTGAAAGTAGGCATTCATACAATACTAGGAAGCAACAGAGTGGGGTGAAATGGAAAGATCAGTAGTATTGTTCTGGTAGTGGGTGTGTGGATTCATGAGAACCAGTCTTCAGGGTAAATTTAGGTAATTTCTATGTTCTTTCTATTTCTATGTATGTACCATTACAGAGAATTCTGATGATAGCTCTAATATCTGATTCCAGATCTTTATAATTCCTGCTTATGTAGTCAATGCTAAAGACTTATCTAATCTTTCTGTTGTTTGCATATATCATTTTAAATCTTTTTTTTTACTGCCCCCTTCCTTTTTCTTTCTTTCTTAAAGGCTCTATCACCCGACACGACATAGACTCACCACCGACTTCAGAGCGTGTTGTCAGTATTTACAAGTATGAAGACATTTTTATGCCATCAGCTGCCTATCAGACCTTCTCCTCTCCATTTTGTTTGCTTCTCATTGTTGCCCTGACCTTCTACTTATTGATGGGAACCCCTTAAACACAGCTGCAAAGCCAACATATTAAATGGATTAGAAAGTCTTTAGTATAAATATATTTTTTAAGAATATGCAGTATAATTTTAGCTTTTCTTATTTAAAAAAAGACTCCTATGATTTCAGTTTTTGGAAGAAAGAGCAAGCTGCTTTTCTAATCAAAGAGGATTGTTTAATATTGATCCCATACTTTTGGAAAGTACTTAAAAATTTTTCTAAGCACTTTCAAATGTGTTTTCTTATTTGAGCTTCAAAACATCTCTGAGTTGGCTTGTTGAAAATTGTCAGTACCATCTTACTGAATGGGATTTGAGGTCGAGGAAAGCTGCCTTTTTTGGTGACCCACATACCATGTGGCCTTGGCTACTTGGTCAGATAACACATAACAAGGTAGAGAAAGAGCTAGGCATACAGCTTCTAAACAACCTTTATTCTTCCAACTACAGCTCAGGAGAGTTACTTGGGACATTACTAAAGAGAACATTACTGGATGGCCCTAGTTCACAATCAACCTTTTAGGCAGAAGAAGTTTCAAATTTCCATAAATGCATTTGGATATTTACACAGCTGATGGGGAGAATGGGAAAGATTATAATGATAAGAAAATGGTCCATACTTAGAGGAAATTTCTTCTCAGTCAGTGAGTAGTTATGAGAAAATATTTTTTTATTGCTGTTTGGAAAGGTTAGGAATGGAACTGTGAGTGTTCCTGAAGATGTAAAACTATATTAATGATAAAAAAAAGAAAAAAGGGCATTGTTAGCGGTTAGAATTTGGACTCTTCTCTCACTGTATTTTATAAATTAAACGATTCATGTGTTGTTACAGCTAAATCCGTTGTCAGAGTCGACATCCACGGAGTATGATTAAATATGTATTATAATAGACAAGTCCTCTTAATAAAAATTTAAGGCATTTTGAAAATAAACATTTTTGGAGATTGTGGAGATTTGGAGTAGAAACTTTTTAAAGATGACATTTCTTTTTTAAATCAGAAAATGGGAGATGACCCCTAGAGTGAATTCACCTAGAGTTTCCGTTCAACATGTTGGGACTTGTAAACTGGATCAGCAATCAGCAGTACTTATCATAATGCCTTGACTTAATGCATCCCCTTTTTTCAAAGGAACCCAAATGTTCCTTTGTTCCAAATGTCTGTGCTAACAGCCCATTCAGAGGAAAAGAGTCTATGGGTGTCATTGAGTTGCTGATGGATTTCCACTGGAGAGTTTCGCAGTCCTCTGGCTTGGCCCCATCATTGCTATAGAGCTGGATTTGTGGATTTTGTGATTAAACAAGACTGGAGATTGATTTCTAATGCCATCCTTGAAATTCACCGTCAGGGTGAAAGTCCACCTGGGGAGTAGGGGGAGAACTTTTAAATTCTGGAACTGTACAAAAATAAGGAAAACATTGTGATTCTGTGACACACAGTCTACCAAGTGATGTAGGAGAAATAATCCTCATTGCAGAGGGAGAGAGGTTAAATGACGTTAGGTGAGCAAAAGAACTGGGTAGGATTCAAACTCAGGTCATCTGGTTCAAGTCTGTGGCTCCACCTCGCTGCCATGGCCTTGGAACTGAGCCCTCCAGTCCCGGCTGAGGGTGGCCTTTGCACACCTTCTGAGCTATCATGCTTGTTCAGTAGTGAGGATACAGCATATGCAGGCACCCACTTTGTAAATAAGAAGGCAAATATTTTTATACTTCACTCTCTGATGTATATGGTATTTCAGCTATAAATAGGTTAAGACTAAAGAAAGACGGGCTAGCCTCTGTAGCAGGCAGGGAAGGAACACATTAATGGATTTTCCCTCTGCTTGCGTTTCAGGTCAAGCTATTTATTTCACAAATTGTTTCCACTTTGATGACCAGTCTTGCATATTCGTGCTTAGAACTTTCTCTGACTTCTTACTGCCATTAGGGTAAAATGCAATCCATTTTGATTACCTCCCAAATCATCTTTTTTTTTTTTTTTTTTAAGATTTTATTTATTTGACAGAGAGATACACAGAGAGAGAGGGAACACAAGCAGGGGGAGTGGGAGAGGGAGAAGCAGGCTTCCCGCTGAGCAGGGAGCCCGATGCGGGGCTCGATCCCAGGACCCTGGGATCATGACCTAACCTGAAGGCAGATGCTTAACGACTGAGCCACCCAGGCGCCCCTCTCCCAAATCATCTTTTGCCACCACTCCTCACTTGCCATGTCCACGCAAGGCAGCTGCTCTCAACTCTCCTCTCATGGTGTTGCCTGTGCCCAGACGTCTCCCACTTCCTGTGCTTGCTGATCTACTTACTTTTCAGGTCACAGCTTCGGTATTTGTTCCTCCAGTCCCCTGGACTAGATAGGTTTAAGTCCCCACCTCATGCTCCCACAGCACACTGGGCTTCTCCATCCAGCTGTCCATCACTCTTTACTGCAATTCCTTGCTCGTCCTCCCTTGCTCGCTCCCCGATGCAGGGACCATTTCTTGCTACTCGTGGTTGTAACAAGACACCGCCACACCGTGGGCGCTCAGCAAACACTTGTTGGACAGAAAAATGTAGATGAAACTGTACTTCTGTGGCAAGTTTGTTTGGTTCAGGGGCTTGTATTTCATATGCAATGCCAGACTGACCAGCATTTTTATATTCTTCCACCTGTGATCAAACCATAAACCGTTTCTTTAGCAAACACTGAACTTTTGAAACAGATAGAAAGTCGGTTCTGTCTTGCCCTGTGGTGAACCTAAATTGATATTCTGAACAATAATTATTGTTTGCAAATAAGAACTAACAGACCAGGAATGCAGAACAGCATTTGACTCATTCCAGAGGACCGTTAGTTTATAGGCACACTGAAATTAAAATTCTGTAGACTTCAACTTCGTTTATTTTTACCTAATATGAGAATAAATTTCTGTTTTATCTCTGTATTCCTATTTTCCAACATAGTACTTGTCACTGGGGAGATGCCTAACCAACATTATTTTTTTCCTAAAATGCCCGAGTAGAACCATAATAACAGCTAAATGTGTTTAGTGCTGTTCTAAGCACCTTATGTGGATTAACCCATTTAATTCTCACAATCCCCACAGGAAGTAGATTCTATTGTTAATCCAATTTTACAGATGAAGAAACTGAGGCTAGTCATTTGGCATAAATGACCAGTGCTGGCCATTTAATCTAATGCCCTTACTTGACAAAGGGGCAGCTGAGGCCTAGGAATGTGAAAGGACTTCCTACACATTCGTGTCTTTATGCACACTCATTAAGGTGTTTGTTAAATGGAACCCACCATGCACACTCAAATTAGGTAGGTGCTTTCTCCCCCTTTACTGATTAACAATAAATAGGAGGACTTTTATAGTTCTGTTTGGGGAAAGAGGTACATTTCCCTTTCTATAACTTTCTTCTCAAAAACATTTAGAATCTTTATCAGGTATGTAGTGCTTTTAATAGGGTTTTTTTTTTTTAATTTTTTTAATTTTTTTTTATTTTTTTTAAAGATTTTATTTATTTATTTGCGAGAGAGAGAATGAGAGACAGAGAGCATGAGAGGGAGGAGGGTCAGAGGGCAAAGCAGACTCCCTGCTGAGCAGGGAGCCCGATGTGGGACTCGATTCCGGGACTCCAGGATCATGACCTGAGCCGAAGGCAGTCGCTTAACCAACTGAGCCACCCAGGCGCCCTAATAGGTTTTTTTTTTTTTTAAATACAGATTGGACAATACTAGAAGAATGTATTTGTCTTAGTTAATTTTTAAAAGTGATTTGCCTAAAACCCCAGGTCTTCTCATTTAGAATCCAATGCCCTCTTATTGCCCCACTGTAGTCTCCAAGCTGAATTTATAACCATGATTTCAGACAAAATGCAGGAGCCATATTTAATGATCTTAAGTTGGCTTTTGACATTAAGGACACCGGAAAGTTCGGACAACTCAGGGATGGATTTTTCACCCCAGACGGTTTTTACTACAATTTCTGTAATTAAGTTTACTGTCTATATTCTGGATTTTGTGCTTCCAAGATATTGCCACTGAGGTTGTGTGTCATTCTCAGGCCTAGCCTGGGGTCCGCAAACTTTCTGTAAAGGGCCAGATGGTAGAGAATTTTAGGCTCTGTGGTCTCTGTTTCAGCTGCTCAGCTCTGTTGCAGTAAATTCAGAACTGGGTAAGCAGCAGTTTTAATTTCTCTAAGCTGTGGCCATCATGAATGACTTTCACTATTGAATTGCTCTTGTGGGGATTATAGTGTTTCAGAGTAATTTATTTCTCTGTAGATTTCTTTTTAAGCATTATCTAAATCTGTTATGCCCAGGGGAGAGTTTTAATACACACAACTATGGCATCTCCCTCATGTATCCTCATGGAAAAATATTTGAGAACTCCTTCACTAGGCCAGATGCTGAGATGTGTATACTTCGTTGTATATAATTGTAGTGTATATCCTTGTTCTCTAAACAGAACTGATTATGTTTAGTGGACAGTTTGATTATTCTCAGTATGTGTGTGTATATACTTGTACATACATGGCGAGGTCTGTGTGTGTTTGTACATAGACGCCATGCCCCTGTGAAGGTCTTTGTCAGGATTGTTTCTGTTCCTGATCCCTTGAATACTCGAAAACCCAAGAGATTCAACATTGTGCATATTACAGGCAAAACTACCTTTGAGTTTATAGGAATTTAGTTTGTAGAAAGGATTCCTTTATTAAGCCTTGCCTCCTCCACTCAACATGATATGAATTGTTAAGAATGTATAAAGTATCACTGTTGAGTTTGACTTGTCTATACTTTTAGTTAAGAAACTAAGGCTAATGTTAATTAAGTAGATGGCATGTTGATAGAACCTATTCGTATTTTGTATTTAGATTCCTTATTCAGATACTCTGTTATTTAGTTACAGGTTGGACTTCCTTGTTTTTATATTTAATAAACAACCTGATATAAGTTCCTTTTCACAAAAATAGTGACTATGCTAGTGTGATTTTAAGTATGTCTGGAGACGGAACATTGAAGTGAATCATCAAGCTCATTGAGATTTTTCACTTAAGATGTACTGATGCTTGTTATTAGGCAAATAGCTGTTCCGTTCCATCCTTCCGGAGGGTAAGTGACTCTCTAGGGTGACTCTCTGTGGTGGTTGTGGCGTTCACCTAGGTCACTAGAGTTACCACTTCAGCACGTACAATGTCCCGGCCACCTGGATGAGTGAATGCAGCTTCTCCACATGCCTTATTCCCACAGACACACTGATGCTGGGACAATCTGGCTCCAGGAGTATTAATATACTTTTTTGAGACTGTCTACAAAATACTATTTTGTAAAAACTATGCCTTTAAATAGACACCGATGGGTTATATTTGTTTTATAATAATTGTGTACCTAATGTTCAATTGCAATTGATTTTGAGATTTATGTATATTTATAAGCCTGTCCTATGTGAATTTTTACTCTAAGATGTGATACCTTACTAATAAAGACATGGATTTCTATTTATGTAAAGTAATTGTAGCAATATTCCTAGATGCTACCTAAATGATTGTTTAGTCCATTTGCCATCACAAATCCTTTTATCTTTAGAGAATTATGTTACAGTTAGAATATATTAACTAGATTTAAACTTTAAAGTATAAATTCTCAACATGGTTTGAAATTCTTCCTGTTGATACAATTAAAGTTAGTTTATAATTCCTTATCGCTTTGCTCTGGTCCATTTTTGGTTTTCTTTTAACATGCTTTCATTTGTAAAGTGTCCCCGAATTTATAGACCTTGGAGAAGATGACAGCCTGTCTTGTCTGACAAAGAGGAAAGTCACGTTGCAGTAGTCAGATAAAAGTCCTTGTAGAGAAACAGCTTGCAAAATGAAATTGTATTTATAGCTTCAGCTTAATACCTTTATCAAATAGTACATGAAGGCCTATAATCCCATTTAAAGGATACAGTATTAATTAGTTAGTAGCATAATTTCGGTTATGAGCCTTACTAGGAGCTAAATCATATTATATGTTAAGAATAGTTAGAGTTTAGTAGTAGAGCTTCATGAATCATGAGGGAAGCATGGGATTTGCAGAATGGAGCTTCTGAGCTGTCAGTACTACCCGGGCTAGGTTGAGAAGCTCAAGGAATGTCAGGTTGGGAAAGAATCAGGCATTACCACATTCTACATTATAGGCTCTAATCCTCACCCTGCCCCAAGAAAACAAATATTTTGGTATTCTAAGTGTTCCCTCTGGCATTTATTTTGCAGGATTCTCAGTGGATAGCTCAGCTGTCAGACCTGAACCTGGTTGATGGTTGAGTTGGAATTTTCTTAGGGCTCAGTCCCAGGCGCAAGGGACTGTTCATTCATTCATTCAACAATTACTGAGGATTCTAATGTGCCAATTCCTATGCTAGACGCTACACAAAGAGGACTGAAGGAAGAAGAGCTTTTGATTTCTGCCCGGAAGAGGCTCACAGCCTCCTGGGGAGGCAGACACATAAACACCACGATAAGACCTTTTGGTGACTGCAGTGGTAAGGAAATACTCAGGTGTGGTGCATGCCTGGAGGACAGACCCTCACCCGCCCTGGGGCAACCAGGAGAGCAGGCGGTGGTCCTGAAACTGAATCTTAAGGAAGGGGTAGGAGTAAAACAGGCAAAAGGCATGGAGAAGCATCTCCAAGAAAGAGGAGAGCAACCCCAGAAGAAAAACCAGCAGGATGTGTCTGGGACCACTGCCGTTTGACAAGGTTTATATGAGTTTCCCATTGCAGCTATAACAACTTTACCACAAATTTCGTGGCTTAAAATGACAGAAGTGTGTTCTCTTTCAATTCTGCTGGCCAGAAGTCCGAACTGAATCTTAGGGCGCTAAAATCAAGATGTTGGCAGGGCTGGGCGCCTGGGTGGCTCAGTCGTTAAGCGGCTGCCTTCGGCTCAGGTCATGATCTCAGAGTCCTGGGATTGAGTCCCACATCGGGCTCCCTGCTCAGCGGGAAGCCTGCTTCTCCCTCTCCCACTCCCCCTGCTTGTGTTCCTGCTCTCGCTGTCTGTCAAATAAATAAATAAAATAAAAAAAAAAAAAGATGTTGGCAGGGCTGATTTCTCCTGGGAACCCCAGCTTCTGGTACCTATGGGCATTACTTGGCCTCTGGCCTCACCACTCCAATTTCTCTGCATCCTTGGTCAGATTGCTGCTCCTCTTCTGTAGCCTAATCTCTCCCTTCCTCTGATGAAGATATTTAAGATTACATTTAGGCCCCACCCATATAAACCCAGGATAATCTCCTATCTCAAAATCTTTAAGTGCCAAGTGCCTTTAACTACCTAAGGTAACACACCAGATAGGTTGTAGGGATTAGGACATGGCATTTTCCTTTCCACCACAGTGCTGGAGGATAAAGGACAAAGAAGGTATGGGGAGAAGTGAGGGTGAGTGTGGCCCCATCACACAGGATCTTGGAAGTCAGAGTAAAGAGCTTGGACTCTTCCATGGGGTAAAGAGGTTTTGAAGGGATCACGTATTTGGAAAGGTCACAGTGCCTGCAGTGTAGAGAATTGAGTGCAGCAGGAGGGCAGAGATGGCAGCAGAGACCACCCAGAGGCTTCGGTGACATCACTGTGTGGTGCCAAGAGCATACAAACAGGTGGACACTTAGGATTCAAGCCCAGCAAGACTTGATTCTCAGACACAAATTGTTTATTTATAAATAAAAAAGGATTAGTCTGGCCAACTTGAAATGCATCCAGCATCTTCTGGTTTTCAGTCTTACTCTGATTTACCCAGAAGGGTGGGTGTTTATACATTGGGTGGTCTCAGCCTTAGTTTGAGTATATTCTTGGGAGTAGAGCCAAGGAAGGGGTCGGCTAAGAATTCCAAATTCTGATCTGTAATTCTCAAACTCAGCCATTCCAGATAAAAGGTAAATCTCTATCAACTAAGGACACGGAAGACCACCTACTTTCTGGACAGGCACTCTGGCTTTCAGCACAGAATTGTTCATCACAAAATTCACCCATTTTCCTGACCAACCTTCCTCCCACCCTAGAAGAGGAAGGGGGAGCTCTCTTGGTTACAGACTTTTTTTTTTTTAAGATTTTATTTATTTGAGAGAGAGCGAGCGAGCATGAGCAGACTTCTGCAGACCAGGGAGCCCAGTGCGAGACTTGATCCCAGGACCCCGGGATCACAACCTGAGCCGGAGGCAGACTGAGCCTTTTGAACCGACTGAGCCACCCAGGTGCCCCAGACTTTTTTTTTTTTTAAAGATTTTATTTATTTATTTGAGAGAGAGAGCACAAGCAGGGCGTGGGGGAGGAGCAGAGGGGGAGGGAGAAACAGACTCCCCGCTGAGGAGGGAGCCTGATGCGGGGCTCAATTCCAGGACCTTGAGATCATGACCTGAGCTGAATGCAGATGCTTAACCGACTTGAGCCACCCAGGTGCCCCATTGGTTGTAGACTTTGAAAAACGTGTGTGTTTGTGTTTTCCCAAAAGGACTACCCAAGCTGCTGCTTATTCACCTGGCTCTCTCCTGGGTACATAGGTCTCAGTTGAGTTGATTGAATCAATTTGATAATCTTTTCACTAATCTTTTCATTAACTAGTAAAATTTTCTTTGTTGACATGGCATGGAAGGTTAGCTGAAGCTGGATGTCACAGACCAGAAGGACAGGAACCTGGAGGCAGGAAAGGCTGCAGTCTACTCAATGAACTGGCAGGACCCACACTGTAAGTGATGTCCTGTGTCCCAACATGGGGAGAGGAGAGGGAAGGGGAGTAGTCAGGGAGTCAGGCAAGGCCTGATGGTAGCAAACTTGTTTGCAATATTTGTCCTTCAGCCATTGAGATTTTTTTTTTTTAAATCTCTTACTCATATACACACTAATTAACTTCCTAAACTCTTCTTCTAGACCAGTTATCTACCTTTTTAGTCTGCCAGTTTTATCTAGTATCAGACACTCCATGATTAGTTACAGTAGGAAAGGCAAATAAATTTCATCTTGTGTGCCTACTTTGTTGATAGTGGTTCCCTAGAATATTCTGCTGAGGATTTTGAGGCATAGGGAGAAATACCTAGGCATAGGGAGAAAGAGATCAGTGGTTGATTAGCAATGTCTGCCATGGACTTAGCAAAGAAAAGTTGTAACTTGTATTTGGAATTGCATGTCTGTTTGATTACTTTTTCACACGATCTCTCCTCCTTCACTGTACATATGTATCACTTTATACTTGACATACACACTCCATGATTTTTGTTTTGCTTTATTTTAATTCCAGTGTAGTTAACATAATGTTAAATTAGTTTCAGGTGTACGATATAGTGATTCAACAATTCTGTACATTACTCAGTACTCATCAAGATGAGTTTCCTCTTAATCTCCTTTACCTCTTTCCCCTATCCTCCACACTGGGTAACCATCTGTTCTCTATAGTTAAAAGAGTCTGTTTTTTGGTTTGTCTCTTTTCTTTCCTTTGTTTGTTCATATACACTCTATTGTAAGCACTGGATTTTGTACAAAGCAGGTGCTTAGCACAACTCAGTAACTGTTTGTAGAGACACTTGGAGAACTCCAAGATACAATGCCTGGGAGAATCCTCCCTTTATTTGCTTTATCTCTGGGGCTTTTATCTTTGTTTTTGTTTGTTTGTTTTGTTTTGTTTTGTTTTTTCCTGGGGCTTTTATCTTGATACCTTGAGGAAGTGGGGGGGGGGTCTGTGGACGTTAACTGTTGTTTAAGAACTGCCTCTTTGGCTTCAAGACAGCCATAGTCACCCTGAGAGCCTCTATCAGGTTCTCACCATATCCCAGGCACTATACTGCTGCTTTAGACAGACTCTTACTTCAAAAATCCTCAGAGCAACCAATGATGTAGGTATTATCATTTTATCTGCCAGAAAGCTTTCTGTTGCAAGAAATGTAAAACCCAACTAAAACTGGCTTAAATGATTAGGGAATTCATGGGTTCGGGCAACAGGAAGGCCAAAGGCAGTGTGGTGCCAGGGTCGGTTTGATCCACTCCTGAGTCCATTTTACCTCCACTGTATCCTGGCTGTCCATGGAGGCCATTCTTGCCCGAGGTGGTTGGAGTGAGTTGTTACGTGAGGTGAGCAAAGAAAGCTCAAGTAACCTTGCATTTTGGAGGAGAAGCCTAAAGGCACATGTCCTGTGAACTAGAGGATTGAATGGACTGTGTGTACTCTTCTCAGATGTAGTCTGTGGGTTCTACATCTCAGTATTTTAATTTGTCTCTACTCTCAATCTCAAGAATGCCTGGCAGAAGCATTCTCAGTGTTTCAGTAACATTTCGAGCAGGAAGCACAAACAGGCTTTTTGAAAGGCTACCACTCATTCATTCACTTGCTTAGCAAACACTTACTGAGCTTCTACTCTGTACTATGAATGTCATATACTGTGTCTGGTGCTGGGGAAACAGACCTGAAGCAAACCCATGTAAACCACCGACCTTGACCACAGTGTGGTAAGTACAATCATAGCATGGTGAGCAAAATTCTGTAGAAACCCAATCTTAAATTAGGCCATATAAATGTTAGTCTAGTTCGTTTCTAGTGCATCCGCCATCATTTCTGTTAGAATTCCATTCTTGACTGGAAGTTCTATCGGAGACTTGTCAGTTCGATTGCTTTGGCCATTAGAACAGTTTTGAAACGTTCAGCAATTTTGCCTTCTGCTGAGGCCTGGAACCAGAACACCATGACAGGGAATTTTGGGTTTGCCGAGCTGGGGCCCTAACACAGTTTAGGCAACCTTACTGCTGTGGCACCTCCCCCAACTTCCCCCCCACCCCAATGTCCAATGCATACCTAAGTCACTTTCTGTTTGTAAAGCCTTTTGTTACATAAAATGGAGCTGTTGGGGGTTTTTGGTTTTTTCTTTTGTTTTTCTTTTTTTTGGTACCACAGGAAGAGAGCTGTCTTTGGTTGGAGGAAGACCTGGGATACTTGGTCTTGATAGCTTTTGAGCCCCTGTGCTAGAGGACAGAAGGCCAGACATGGAAGGAACTCTCATGAGAAGAGTCACAATACATTGAGCACAAGTGGCTTGGTGTAGCACTTGGGTCACAAAGGGGCACAGGGTAGGCAAGTCAGGGAGGAGGACTTCTTCCCCTTCTCTGAGTGGAACCCAGCTCTTTGGCACTCTGAGGATTAGAAGTTTGGGAGTATCCAGGATCTGGGAATAGTGACAGGCACTGCCAATCATATGACAGGTACAGGTAAGCTGTGTGGGCAGCAGGGTGGACATAGGGTGTTTGGTGGTTGACTCATGTCTCTGGATATATATGCGGCACCCTCTTTGGGATTCCCTACTCATTACTGAGGACTTTTTGGAAGGGAGGCTGAGGCCTTGTGATATAAATAGGAGCTTGGGGCCAGTGTAAAATGGGAACTGAAAACAAATGTGACCATGATTGTAATATAATCTCAGCAGCCCCAGACAAAGTAAAGAAGCAAAGCAAAATGTAAGACAAGTGAAGCAATATATTTACAGAGTCAAAGTCCAAAGACCACTTGAGAAACAAGAGCTGTGACCTGAAACCTAAAAAAATGAGATGGAAAAGAATTATTTTTTATTTTACTTTATTTCCTGACTCACCTTGTCTCCAAGTCTTAGTAAGCAACAGTTTCTTCATCTGAAAACTGTGGATAATGATACTTGTCCTGTCTAATTTAAATAGAGAAACAAAAATTGTGTTTAAATTAATATGAAAACAGAAAAGGTATGACCTGTAGGGTTTAAAAGCAATCACATATTGAGTACTCAGTAAAGCCTGCCTGCTTGCTTTTCTCTCTTTCTTTTTAAATATTTATTTGTTTGAGAGAGAGCGAGCACTGCTTGAGCAGGGGGAGGGGCAGATGGAGAGGGAGAGAATCTCAGGTGGACTTCATATTGGGCTCTTTCTTTTCCTTTCCTTTCTCTTCTTTCTTTCATCTTTTTTTTTTCTTTTTTAAAAGATTTTATTTATTTATTTGACAGAGAGAGACATAGCGAGAGAGGAAACACAAGCAGGGGGAGCGGGAGAGGGAGAAGCAGGCTTCCCACTGAGCAGGGAGCCCGATGCGAGCTTGATCCCAGGATCCTGGGATTATGACCTGAGCTGAAGGCAGACGCTTAATGACTGAGCCACCCAGGCGCCCCTCTTTCATCTTCTTTTAATAAAAATGTTGGTTAAGATATGAGTAGTAGGGTTGGATCCCAGGACCTTTCCAACATAACAGAAGCAACTTGCACTGCTCTAGCCATTTGTCTTTTTCTCTCCTGAGACAAGAGCTTCTATTATTATCATTTCCATGTGACAGAGGGGAAATCAGGGTTGGGGGCTTAAATAACCTGACCCCAGGTCTCAAAAAGAAACAGTAGCAGTTTGAGACTCTGATCTAGAGCTCTTTTAGGAGTTTAGATAGCTCTCACATGACATCAACCCCAATTTCAACAGTAGCTGTACTTTACAGTCCACCGAGGAGCTTTAAAAAATATGCCAAAGATCACTAGTCAGACCAATTAGTATAACAGGTAAGACAACAGACTTAGGAGCCAGATTCCGAGCTTGAATTATGCCTTTGCCACTCAGTAGCTGTGTGACCTTGGCAAGGTACTTAACTTCTCTGTGCCTTAGTTTTCTTTTTTGTAAAGTGGGGATAATAACACCATGTTCTCTGTAGGGTTATTCTAAGGATTAAATGAATGAGGCACTTGGAACAGGGTCTGCGGTATGGTAATCGCTATTTAAAGTCCTGCACCAGAGCAAATACTTTGCTTATTAAATAAATGAAGAGAATTGAATGTAGGGGGTCCGTCTTTCGTAAGTACTACCCCCCCACCCCCGGGATTCTAATGTACCGCCTAGAATTTCAATCTGCGACTGTAGTGCCTCTTTTGGAATTCCGCCTCCTGAAAAGTTGACTTTAACCAATGGGTGAAGGGACCTTCCCCCCCTCCACACCGACCCCCCCGGAAGATGTTGAGCCCAGAAACCTGTTACCTGGATCTGCAGGGACCAATGGGCGAAGGAACCCGGGGGCGAAGGAACTCTTTCCATACTTTCTGGGAGTTGTAGTTCCCCAAGGGTCTCGTAGGCGCCCGGTGCCCAGCTAGAAACTACAACGTCCACAATGCTGCGCGCCGCGCGCCTTGCCTCTCTCCGGTGTCCCCCGCTCGGCTTCCCAGTACCGCCTCTTGGCGGCGGCAGCAGAGGCACCATGGCCGACGGCGGCGGCCCTCCCGAGGCGCCCAGTCCCCGGGGCTCCCCGGGCCGGGTGCCGCGGGTCCCGCGCCCGGGCGGCCCGGGAAGCGGCGGCGGCTGCTGCGGGGAGACGTCGAGGACGCCGGCGCTGGCGCTGCGCTTCGACAAGCCCATCAAGCAGGCCTTTTACAACACGGGAGCCGTGCTGTTCGTGTGCCTGTGTTGCGGCGCTGCCGTGCTCGTCTACTTCATCCTGGAGGCCTTCCTGCGGCCGCTGCTGTGGGCCGTGCTGTGCGGCACCTTCTTGCACCCCTTCAAGAGCTCGCTGACGCGCCTGGGCCGCCACTGGCTGCAGCGCCTGCACCGCGCGCACACGCCCATCGTGCTGGCCGCGCTGCTGCTGCCGCTCTGCTTCGCCGACTACGGCGTGGAGGCCCTGGGCGAGCAGGCGCTGCGCCGCCGCCGCCTGCTGCTGCTGCTCGGCGCCGGCGGCCCGCTCCTTTACGGCCTCTACAGCCTCGGCAGCTACCTGGGCGTGCAGGTGCTGCTGGCACACGCCGGCGCGCTCATCTGCCGCGGGCTGGACTACTTCAGCAGCCTGTGGGTGAGTGAGCGGCGGCCCGGCCTCCGCCCGCGGGCCCCGCGGGCACGCGCGCGCCGCACCCCTCACCGCACACCCCTGGTTCCGGGGGGTGCCCTCCCGCAGCTCCCCCTCAGCAGTGCGGGGACCATCAAAAGCCTCCGCCCTCCTTCCCGGGCAGCTAAGGAACTTGGCCCACTTCCTTCCAAGGAGAGAGCGGGTGTGGCTCGAAAACAGCCCCCTGGTCCCCCGGCCCCATCTGAATAGATCCTCTTTGGGGGACGTGTCCCCAGGTTGGGAATCGCAGGTCCGCTCTGCAGGTTGAGGTCAGCATCGGCAGGTGGCCTTGAATTTACCCTTGGTCGGAGGAGGGGGAGGGTGGTGGGGGCTCCGGCCATCTGGAGGGCCGCAGGAGGGGACCTTACAGATCCTAGTCCAGCTTGTCATTCTGCAGATGGGAGAGGTGACTTTTTTTTTTTTTTTTTTAACCAGGCCACGGCCAGTTAGGGATGAAGAAGGGACTGGTTGACTCAAGTTTCTCAAGTTCTAATCAAAGCGTTCTTCAAAGGCCGGGGCCGCTTCTGAGTTCAGATGATTTCGGTACACTTAGTGAGAGGGACCTGGGCCTGCTCCACCACACAGTCTACTTCTTGGGAACCACCTGTGGAGGTACCCCGCCTCCCGCCTGGATTACTTAAGCAGACTGAGTGAAGGAGAGGTAGATTTGTGATTCTTGGATCACCTGAGTTTATTCTTAGAAAATTAGGGAGCTTTCGAATTGGAAGGGATTTCAAAGATAATCTAGTGGCACATTTCCTAACTCAGACTAGATTGCAGACCAATTAATACCCGACTATTTGAGTGAGGACTATTAAAAACAGGTGGATGTTTAATGCATAAGAAGACTAATTTGTCAATAAACAGTACCATTTAAAATTTTACTCATTTTTGTCAGTGTTCAGTGCACCTTGACGTCAAGTTGCAAAATAATTCCCCTTATGTGTCAAACAGGCCTTTGACTTGCCAAGGGTATTTGTAGAAGTGATGATCGGGGACGCCTGGGTGGCTCAGTCGGTTGAGCGGCTGCCTTCAGCCTGGGTCATGATCCCAGGGTCCTGGGATCGAGTCCCACATCGGGCTTCTTTTTTTTTTTTTTTTTTTTTAAAGATTTTATTTATTTGAGAGAGAGAGAATGAGAGACAGAGAGCATGAGAGGGAGGAGGGTCAGAGGGAGAAGCAGACTCCCCGCCGAGCAGGGAGCCCGATGTGGGACTCGATCCCGGGACTCCAGGATCATGACCTGAGCCAAAGGCAGTCGCTTAACCGACTGAGCCACCCAGGCGCCCCCCACATCGGGCTTCTTGCTCAGCTGGGAGCCTGCTTCTCCTTTTCTCTCCCTCTGCTTGTGCTCTGTCAAATAAATAAAATCTTTTTTTTTTTTTAAAGATTTTATTTATTTATTTATTTGAGAGAGAGAATGAGATAGAGAGAGCATGAGAGGGGGGAGGGCCAGAGGGAGAAGCAGACTCCCCGCCAAGCAGAGAGCCCGATGCGGGACTCGATCCCGGGACTCCAGGATCATGACCTGAGCTGAAGGCAGTCGCTTAACCAACTGAGCCACCCAGGCGCCCAAATAAATAAAATCTTAAAAAAGAAAAAAAAAAAGTGATGATCGATCCCAGAACTCCTGTATTCTCTTGCTCTATCACTGCTACCTCTCAGTTTCCATTGAAAGGTGATTGAACATGTTGATGGATACTAGGCTTTGTGTAGGGGTTTAAAAGGAATAAGATGCAGGCTTTGTCTTCAAGGTGCATATAATTGTATGTAAACATATTCTCATGGAGAAGACACACAACATGCGTCATGGGCCAGCAAGGTATTGAGGAGTGCCTCATCCATAATTTTGGGATGCTGCCTGTGTGATCAGACAGACAGCTTTGGCCTCCAAGTGGCCTGAGCTATTTCAGTTGTGGTAGGAAGGAGGGATGTGGAATGACCTTTGAACTCCGAGGGCCTGCTGGCTTTTCAGGTGGGAGAGATCCTGGAGTTAATGTACTTTTTACTGCCAGATGCCTGCCACTTTTCACGAGAGGCTTCTTAGGCACAGAGAATGTGATTGTTCCAAAGTCAAACAATGTGAAGAGAGCCACGCTTCGCTTTTATGGAGTATGCCACGGCTCCTTTAAAACCCTGTTATTTATACCTTCAGTGCTATTTCTCCTTTATCTTGTTGCACAGTTCACTTGATTGAATGGCTCATATAAGGCCGGTTACTGTATGTTGTTAAGAAATATAAATACTATGACTTGATTCTGAGAAATTCAGTCTTGTCAGAGGCAGACACATTTTGACTGTTGATACTGCAATTTAGTATAAATTATTGTAGGCAAGGCCAAATAGGGAATCCACCAAACTAGGAAATTGGGAAATAAAAGATCGAACATGTGAATAGTGTAATTTCATACTGTAGTGAGAAGTTGAATACATGGGTAAATTGGCAGGGTTAGTGGAAAGTGGGGAATTTCTGCTAGTTACCCTCAGTGAAAAGAGATGAGGAATTTGCGTACCAGTGAAGAAGTGCCTGGAGCTGAATGTATGTAGTTTTGTATGTGTTTTTACAGAGGAGAAACCCTCATTTTTGTATTTTACTTAAATACCCTAATCTGAGTTGTGGATGAGTGCAAGAGAAGTAAGGGCCAGTATTGATTTTGCAGCGGGGAGGGGGGTTAGGGTGGTCAAGTTAATTAATGATCTTTAAAAGGCTTAAAACAGCTGTTTGGCTATAGTGAAGGGCTTGGGAGAAGAGGAGTCGGGGGGGGGGGGAAACAAAGCCATTATAACAGAAACCGTATGAGTTAATTAGGAGTGAGTAGGAGTGGTAGAGGGGGTTAAATTGAACGCGTAGGTCCCCTAGGTTGATCTGAGTTTGAGAGAAATGAGGCTTGCAGTTGTGGTTTCCTGAAGCAGCGCTTAGGGGTGGGTGTTTGGACGCGGGCAGAGGTGTACTTGGGAAACAGACAGGGAGTCCTCAGCTCTCAGCCAAAAGGGCTGATAAAGGCTTGACATGAAGTGAAGGAATGTCGGGTGACTGGGCAAGGGGCCCACTCTGTAACTTTCCTGTCTCATAGTTCACTGTCTCTGTGGTTCTGTGAGCCCAAGCAGAGCTGCCAGGTATTGAAAAAGAGTCCATGTTTTCTAGACAACTTGTAAATTTGAGCTTGCTGCTGAAGAGGGATGTACATGGGAAAGGCAGGGAGAAAAGTCACATAGCTGACAATTCATATGTTTAAGATCCAACTTTTAAGCATCTATCACGTGCCAGGTGCTGGATTAGGTGCTTTCATGGGTGTTGTCTTATTCTCACGATTATCCTGTGAAGGAGGGAGGAGTTTTGTTGGTGCAAAGATTGATTTAGAGATTGATCTGTTTATTCTGTCAGTAAAAGGTATTCAGCAGACCTATCAGCAGTTGAAGTCCTTTTGTCAAAATTCTGAGTAACCTTTGATAAGGATTTATAAAAGTTTTCCCCCCACTATATTGTGTTTAAATGTTTTAATTTAACTTTTTAAAATAAAAATTGATTTTAATTATTTGGGAAAAAACATGAAAGAGTATCAGGACTGGGCTAACCATACATGTTTCCCCAAAGACCCTTGGATTCTAGTCATCTAGAAACCTTGGTCATCTCTTTTCTTTTTCTTCTTTTTTTTTTTTTAAGATTTTATTTATTTGACAGAGACACAGCGAGAGAGGGAACACAAGCAGGGGGAGTGGGAGAGGGAGAAGCAGGCTTCCCACTGAGCAGGGAGCCCGATGTGGGGCTCAGCTCCAGGACCCTGGGACCATGACCTGAGCCGAACGCAGATGCTTAACAACTTAGCCACCCAGGCACCCCATCTCTTTTCTTCTTTTATCTTTGTATCTGTTCAGCTATTTCCAAGTGGCTTGGTAATAGTTTTCCTTTGTAGTGGCTTCGGTACCTGTATTTTCCTTTTTTGCTCATTTATCCTTCTAGTTCAGTTCCTCTTCACCTCACTTTTGTGTTTCTTCAGTCTCCTAACACTCTGTCCTGCTTACAAGTAAAGACCAGTAATTTGTGGTATGAGTAATTCTTTTAAACAGTTACAAATATATTAGAATTTTGTATGGACTTAGTTCTAAACACTTAAAAAAAAAAAATCACCTGTTGCACCATGCTCACATGTGACACAGTCCTTGGGGCCCTTGGCGTCTTCCATGATGTGGAGTTGTCAAGATAAAACTGAAAAACTAATACCCACCCCTCCCCCACCCCTTTTCTTTGCTGGGAGTGTTTTGATCTTCCTCTCCCTCTTAGTTCAGACATGTTAGAAAATTTGGAGACCATTTACAGTTTTTGCAGTAGTGATAGATTTGACTTCTCCATGGCCCCTGACCCCACTGTTTCCATTTTACTTTAAAAAGAAGTATGAAGTAGGAAGAATAGTGGTTGAAAGGTGAGAAGACTGTAAATTCTATTTATTTATTTATTATTTTTTTGTAAGTAATCTCTACCCCCAACATGGGCTTGAACTGAGATCAAGAGTCGCTTGCTCGGGGCGCCTGGGTGGCTCAGTTGGTTAAGCGACTGCCTTCGGCTCAGGTCATGATCCTGGAGTCCCTGGATCGAGTCCCGCATCAGGCTCCCTGCTCGACAGGGAGTCTGCTTCTCCCTCTGACCCTCCCCGCTCTCATGCTCTCTCGCTCTCTCATTCTCGCTCTCAAATAAATAAATAAAATCTTAAAAAAAAAAAAAAAAAGTCACTTGCTCTTCTGACTAAGCCGGCCAGGCGCCCCGAGACTGTAAATTCTAAACTGAGCTCTGTCAATAACTTGTTTTGTGACCTTGGATTGACCAGGGCTCTTCTCTGAGCTACTCAACTCCAGTTATGTGAAGTGCGGGGTTGGCTTGGATGATTTCTAAGGTTCCTCGCACAGTTCCAAAGTATTTGTCAGTGCGCTCTAGAGGCTCTTAGGAAGTGCACATTAGTCAGCCAGCCAGGCCCACCCCATCCCACTTCTGAACCCTTCTCTAGGTGTGTTTCTGCTCGCCTGGCATCAGTAAGGAGAAACGTTTCCAGTGCTTAGGTTCTTTCTCAAAGACTGATCATAAAAGATTCTTGACTCTAAGTTGCCACACAGCAAAAGAGAATAGTTTTCAAATTAGAATAAAGCTGTTTTAAAGGAGGATGAAGTACCTGAAGCGAACATTGTACATTTGTGCAATTGGGATTGTACTTTTTCTGTGGTTTTATTCTCTCTGTAAGACTTAGGAAGCTGTTTTGCAAAAACCTGCAACAGAAGCAAGCCAAGTTATTTTTCTGGCTAATGGCCACATGATGATAAATACAACAGTCTAAAAAGCAAAGTCTACTAATGCATTTAATATTTTATTTAATCAGAAAAGCATATGTGGTTAATTAGCCAGATGAAAGGAAATTGGATTATTAGTTTGCGTGTAGTGCTAAATAAATGTTGCCAGTTTTTATGGGGCGTCTTATATGGTATCTGGCACACAATGGTGCTTTAAAGTGAGTATTGAATGTGTATTTTGAGAAGGATACATTGTTTTAAAGAACATAAATTTGAGAAAGTATGACCTCATATATAAACTGTGGTTCGTTGATTTATGGCTGGAAGAAAATTCATACTTGAACAGGTTTGCTCAGAGGCTAAACATAGAGACAAATAAAAAAACTTTTAAGGACACACTAGTAGGAATCCATCCTAGAAATTATGTATGAAATCTGAAAGTACAAAGCTTTACTTTTGGTCAAGTTATTTTAAAGAATATTTAGCAATTTCAAAAACTGATTCAAGTAAAACATGTTTGTTATGTAAGAATCAGTTTAAGCATCATAGAAGTCTATATGGTAAAGTGAATAATTTCTTTTTTCTGCCACCATTCCCACTGTGTAGATGTTACTATTGTTAACTGATGAATAGCCTTTTATTTTTTTTATTTTTATTTTTTTTATTTTTTTAAGATTTTATTTATTTATTTGAGAAAGAGAGAATGAGAGAGAGAAAGCACATGAGAGGGGGGAGGGTCAGAGGCAGAAGCAGGCTCCCCGCCGAGCAGGGAGCCCGATGCGGGACTCGATCCCGGGACTCCAGGATCATGACCTGAGCTGAAGGCAGTCGCTTAACCAACTGAGCCACCCAGGCGCCCCTGATGAATAGCCTTTTAAATTTATTTGTATGCTTATGTGAACATATAAAATATAGGGTTTTTGTTTTACAAAATAAAAATTGGTAACATAAATATAAAATTTTGCACCTTGCTCTTTACCATTGTATTGCAGACATCTTTCCTTGTTAGCACTTATAGATAAAATTCTTTCTTTTTAGTACTGTAGTATAAAAAACTTTTTTCCAGATGTTTTAGAATAAGTGTTCCTATCAGATTGTTGTAGCTCACAATTTGTATTAGGATAATCTGATAAATATTTTTTTAAACATTGGTAATTTGTATAATATGGCTTAATAAAAAAAATCTCAAGTGCTTACAAATGGTCATACTTTTTGAGCTAATAATATTCTGTGACTCTTTTCTGAGGAGACACTTGAGAATATTGGAAAAAAAATCCATAGCCAAAAGAGTTTTTTTTAAGTTAAAAAACATTTGCTATTTATAAATATAATAATCTTTGAAAATTCAGCACTTGAAGGAAAACAGAAAGAAGCAAATTACCCCCTGAAATCCAACCATCCAGAGATAATATTTTTTAATATTTTGGCAAGTGTATTTTCACCATTATAAATTTATACGTGTTTGCATTTATACTGTCATTGAATGTGGATATTCATCACGTCTCTGAAAGCCTGAATAATTATTCCAGTTTTTCGAGGTACCATTATTTAAAGAGTCCCTTATAAAATGACACATAGGTTATTAATTTTTTAATATTTTATGGTGCCATGGTGAACATTTTCATATCTCTCTGCACAACCTGTAGTGCTTCTGTAAACGAAGTTTAGAAGTGGAATTGGGGAGTGTATTTAATAAGTGGTTATTTTATTTTTTATTTTTATTTATGTTTTTGAAAGATTGTGAGCGGCAGTGGGGGAGGGGCAGAGGGAGAGAATCTTTTTTTTTTTTTTTTAAAGATTTTATTTATTTATTTGACAGAGAGAGAGACGGCAAGAGCAGGAACACAAGCAGGGGGAGTGGAAGAGGGAGAAGCAGGGTTCCCACGGAGCGGGGAGCCCAATGCGGGGCTCGATCCCAGGACCTTGGGATCACGACCTGATCCGAAGGCAAACACGTAATGACTGAGCCACCCAGGCGCCCAGAGGGAGAGAATCTTAAGCAGGCTCCATGCGCCCAGTGCCCAGCCTGATGACCCTGAGATCCTGAGATCACGACCTGAGCGGAAATCAAGACTCAGACGCATAACCGACTGAGCCACCCAGGCGCCCTTAATAAGTGGTTATTTTAAACTGAAATGAGGTTATCCATGAGTTTTAGGTTTACTAGGTGGAAATACGTGCTTCTCTTTAGACCATGCTTTTCCCTTAAAAAATCTGAAATATGAAGTCTTTTCTCTCCCTGTAGGTGATACTGATTCCTTATGAGTCCAGGTAAGGACGAGAAACTTACTGGAGATCAGTTTAAAAACATAGGCTCACAGTCTGAAAGGATATGTCTTTTGTGATCCTCTAGGCCAGCTTCTCACTGAGAGCAGACTCCTGCTTTGTCATCCCTGACAGCTTTTGCTCAAATAAAACATTCCATTTTTAGACAGCTGTAGTGTTAGAAAAATTTATTTTCATATTGAGCTGAAATGTGCGGCTTCCTAATTCCCACGTATTTTTCCTGCTCTCAGGACCACAGGCAATTAAGGCGAATGCCTCTCCCAGCAGACATTTTCCCAGCTATTTGAAGATAGTTATCAAATCTTGATATTTCCTCCTTTTTTCTAAGCTAAGCAGTTTTTTCTCCCCCATCTATATTTGTATCTCCTATGTTGTGATTTCTATTTCCTTTCCCAGTCTGAATTTTATTGCTGTGGTTCGATAGTGCAGACATCACTGAAACAATCATTTCCCCTGATATGAGCATTATTAATAGGCACTCATACCACTTACACTCCTGACTCACACTGAGCTGGAGATCAGCTTAGCTGTCCTCTTCCCATTCAGTACTTGTGCAGTTGAGTTTTGAATCTAAGAGCAGATTTTTGTATCTTTCTATTAAATTTAGTCTTATTTTAGTTAGGCGTTTTCTAGCTTCAGCATATTATTTTGAATCATTATAGTCATCTCAGTTTTCATTGACTATTCCCAGTTTTGTGTAATCTGGGAGTTCAATTAATAAGCCTTCTAGTCTCTTACCTGAATTACTGACTAAATGTTTCATGGGGTGGGGCTGATCACCCCTGTATGGCATACCCACTGAAGGCCACCATTTGCTGAGGATCATTTTCTATTTCAACAATTTGTAGTTGCCAAAACAGACTGTTTTTATTTTTGCTTGTGAATACCGGAGCAGCTTTTCATCTTTATTTTTTTAGCACCACCCTTCTTTCCTCTCACAGTTAAGAAAGCAGACTGTGGATCCAGATTCCTGGGTTCTAATCCTGGCTGTGTCACTTTTTAGCTATGTGACCTTGAGCAGGTCACTCCCCCGAAGTCCCAGTTTCTTTCATCTGTAAAATGGGGATGGCAATAATATTTATGTCCTGGGGTGATGAGGATTTAATGAGTTCATATATATAAAGCATTAGAACAGAGTCTGGTCTGTAGTAAGTGTTATGTAAGGGTACCATTATTATACTCAAGGTTTTGTTTTGAGCTCTCTAGCCCTACCTCAGAGTCTCTGAATTCCCAGGTTAAATTTGTGTGGTTCTGCAGGCTTGAACTGTTTTTGTTTGTTTGTTTGTTTGTTTGTTTTAAAGATTTTATTTATTTACTTGACAGAGAGAGAGACAGCGAGGGAACACGGTAGGGGGAGTGGGAGAGAAGAGGAAAACCTATACGCATGCCATTTAGCACCACCACCTTCATCTTAGCTGTGTTGTATCCACAGCTCTCATGCTATATAGATGTGTGCAGATTTTGTATAATTATATGTTTATTTTCATGTGTATATATTTACAACTGTGTCTATATTTCATTTAAGATCTGGACGTTGGTAGTTGGCTATGTGTTGACTGTTTCATTCAAGTGGAATGCAAGCACTGAACGCTACTTGCGAGCAGTTTCAATTCCTGTCTGGATTATATTGCTTTTTCATTTAGGTGGGTCCCTTTTTCTAAGAAAGTCTAGATTAAGATCAGCAGAGGCTGATCACGTGAATTCAAGTGAATTTTTTTTGTAGTGTTGTATGTTGCATTTAACATTCTTTAAAATAATCTTTAGAAATTGTTGTGCTTTAATCCTTCTTTAATCTTTAATACAAATGTTATGCTTTAACATGTCTTTTAATGATATTGAATGTTCATTTTCAAAAGGTCCTTTAAAAATAAATATATCTTAAAAAGTAGAGCACCCTTGGACTGTCATGGCCACTTCTGAGTGTCAAACTTAAGGAGGATATAGATAAGCAGTCAACTGTGTGAGCAGTAGTTACGGAACCAGAGGTGTTTACTCAGGATGAGAGAAGGGGACTGAGCTCCATGGGTGGAGGGAAGGAGGAGATAAAATATATGTTGCAAATATTTGAAGGACTATGATGTGAAAGAGTGGTTTAAACAGATCTCTGTAACCATGAGGGAGAGATGTCAGAGCAACGAGTAGCTTCAGGGAGACAAATCTGTTCAATGTCAGGACGATCTTTGTCAGCAGCTTCAAGTAATGAGTTCTCTTTACTGTTAGCTGGGTGGCTGCTAGGAGATTGCAGAGTGATTTTTTTTTTTTCAGGGACTCTTTTATCTCCAAGTCTTAAGCTTATGGAAACATCTAATAAATACAAAATTCAGTAATCTAGAGCAGTAGTTAGCCTATTTAAAGTAGTCTTTAGAGCTGCTTATTGTTAAAAACCAGAGTTTTCCATGCTTAACCTACTGAGCCACCATGACCTGAGCTGAAGGCAGATGCTTAACCTACTGAGCCACCCAGGCGCCCCAATATCTTTTTCTCTTAATGTAGGCACTTATCACTCTAAAGGTCTTTGCTTAGAGTCTGATGTGGAACAAAACATTAACAAAACATTACTTTCTAGCTTTGCTGATTTGGAATCCTAAGGAGTATGTTATATTTTAGCAAGATCCCCTGATGTCTGATGTGACTCATTTTGAATTTGGGGAAAACAGCAGAGGGAAATAGGCAGTCCAGGGGGCTCTAGATCAACTCAGGGAAATGCAAATGGCTACAGGTAGGGACGAAAAATGTTAGCATTTTTGCCCTATACACTGAGGATACACTGAAGCTTTTTGCAGTGCCCCTTTGGGCCATTTCACCCTTTCTTGAGAGATGGGAGTTCACACCCAGTGGTATTTTCAGGAAATGAAGTCGTGACTTTAGGTTCTGTGCCTGATGCAGGTCACTTTGGGGTTAAGAGAAAGGCTTGAGTTCAGGATTGTCTTAAATCCTGGTGTGCCTTAGAACAGACTTGATTCCTCAGGTGATAGAAGCCCATTCAGGGTAGGCTGGCACATACCCAGTCCTTTAGAACAGGGACCTCAGAGCAGGGCTGGATTTAACTGAGAGGAGTCCTGAACTGAGATTTCATCTGTCTTATGGCCTTTAAAAGAATTTTTTTTCCCTGTGAAATAATTTTGTTAATGACATCTATGCCAAATTGTTCTGTCAGTCTACTGAGTCTTTTTTTTTTTTAATCTAACCTTTACCTTCAGATACTGTTGCTAAGAATAAACTGAATCTTTTAAAGACAAGTGCTAGATTTTTATTTAACTAAAAATGTTAACTGTTAATAATTTTCAGCATCCCTGGCTGGCTCATGGAGAATTCCAGTGTTCCTGGTTATTGTTTTCCTGATGTCTGTGGGCACGCTGTATGAGAAACAGAATGGAAAAGAGTCTTCTGGTAAGAAATAGGGCATTCTATTAATATTACTTTAAAGAAGTATTTGAGAAAGTAGCTTTATTTAAAAAACATGCAATGATGAAAGTGCTTTAAATCTGTTTTAAAATCTATGGTATTTTCTGAACAGAAGATAAACATGTTTAAAATATTTTAGGTTTTAAGACTGTGCCCCACTCTCCCTCCTTTTTTCATTTTTTAAGGGTATAATTCATATAAAATTAACCATTAACTTTTTAAAGGTGGATTTAGTACATTTGCATTGTTGTGCAACCACTACTTCCATCTAGTTTTAGGACATTTTAAAAGGAAAGGCTGTACCCGTTAAGCAGCTAGCCATAAAGTTAGGTTATTTATTTGTATTTTTCCTTCCTTCCTTCCTTCCTTCCTTCCTTCCTTCCTTCCTCCCTCCCTCCCTCCCTCCCTCCCTCCCTCCCTCCCTCTCTCCCTCCCTCCCTTCCTCCTTCCCTTCCTTCTTTTATTTATTTATTTATTTGAGAGAGAGAGAGAGCCTGAGCAGGGGAAGGGCAGAGGGAGAAGCAGGCTCCCTGCTGACCGGGGAGCCCAATGTGCGGTCCTGGGATCATGACCTGAGCCGAAGGCAGACGCTTAACCTACTGAGCCACCCAGGTGCCCCAATATGTTTTTTCTTAATGTAGGCATTTATCACTCTAAACTGTCCTCTTAGAACTGCTTTTCCATCCCATAAATTTCATTTGTTGTGTTTTCATTTTCTTTGGGTGGAGATACTCTTTGATTTCTTCTTTGACGCATTGGTTAATCAGAATTGTATTGTTTAATTTCCACATCTTTATGAGTTTTCTAATTTTTTTGTTGCTTGTTCTTTTGGTGTCTTTTGATGTAAAAATACCATTGCCAAATTCAAGGTTGATCTTGGGTCCTGCAACTTTGCTGAATTTATTCATAAGCTTTATTAGTTTTTTGTGGCTTCTGTAGGATCATGCATATATAAGATCATGTCATCTGTGAAAAGAGATAGTTTTACTTCTTTCTAATTTGGATGCCCCCCCCCTTTTTTTTTTTGCCTGGCTGCTCTGGCTGGAACTTCCAGTACCAAGCTGAATATATCATTTTCTCCTAAAGAGTATTTTTGAAATGCCCTGGTTGCAAGTGATTTATATCCAGAAACAGTTTGTTAAAGACACCGGTCTCTAATGAGTTGTAAGGTGAGGTGTGGGGTGGCCAGATACTAACGGATCATCAGAGTGGACGTCTCCTCATCCGTCCCTGTGGAGACCGCTGTGACTGGAAAGGTGGGTCTGAGCACACACAACTTTACTGTACCTGACATTCATTCCTTCTTTCTGAGGGCTATACATGCAGTAAAAGCAAATTACTAATCGCAGCAGATTTTTCAAAAAGAATTAATTTCTCCAATATTTTGTTGTTGTTAAGTTGGAGAAATGAACAAAAAGAAAATAAAAATCATTCAAAACCCCACTGTCCACCTAAACATTAACTAGTGCCTTAAGACTTGTGTGCCTTCAGGCTTTAAAACACAAGAAAATTGGCTCATAGTGAATGTTCTCTTTTGTAATCGACATTTTAAACTTTATGTCATGAGCACCTTTCTGTGTCCGGTATACTTCTACATTATCCTCAGCCTCTTCATTTTATGCTAATCGCAAGGCTATTTGTGGTGTTTTGTACTGCTATCTCATAGTTTTTGTCTTTGTTTTTTAATTAAATTGCTCTTTGGTTATTATTTTGCTTGGAAACCTTCTCTCTCTGATAGTGGAAAATAGGAAAGATTTTATTTTGCTCTCTTTCTGGGTTTTCTTTGCTCAACCTGTCTTCCTGGTCACAATCTGTTAGACTCTGTGGTTCTGTATCAGCCCAGTAGACGTGAACTTCCTGTTTCGACAGCTATTGTGGAAAGCTTAGACCACTAAGCTTTCCACAATAGCTGTCTTGTTCCTCTTGGTAGCTTTATCTCCTCTCCCCCACCCTCCCACCCCTTTTCTGCTCATAGTGACGATTCAGATAACTCAGCTTATCCCTCACCCTTCACCCCAGGACGGTTTTCTTTTTCTTGTTCATCTGGAAAGTCCTCTCTTTCTTTTCTTTAATTTTTTTTCAAGATATATTTGACATACAGCATTGTATCAGTTTCAGGTATACAACAATGATTTGATGTTTGATCAGTACCTTGCAAAGTGATTATAAGAAGTCTAGTTAACATCTGTCACCTTATGTATGTACAAACAAGTTTTTTTTTTTCTTGTGATGAGAACTTTCTCTTTTGGCAACTCTCAAATACACAGTACAGTCTTATTAGCTTTAGACACCATGCTGTACGTGACATCTCTATGATTTATTTTGTAATGAAGTTTGTACCTTTTGATCCCCTGCACCCATTTTTTCTATCTCCTACCCCCAGCTCTGGCAACCACCAATCTATTCTCTGTATCTGTGAGCTTGGTGTGCGTTTGTGTGTGTGTGTGTGTAAGTTTCCACATATAAGTGAGATCATATGGTATTTGTCTTTTTCTGAGTTATTTCACTTAGCATAATGCCCTGAAGATCCATCCATACTGTTGCAAATGGCAAGATTTCTTCTTCCCCTCCTCCCTCCCCTCTCCCCTCCCTTCCCCTTCCTCCTCTTGTGTACACATACCACATTTTCTTTATCCATTCATCCATTGATGGACACAGGTTTTTTCCATATCTTGGCGATTGTAAGTAATGCTGTAATGTACATGGGGGCATATAAATCTTTTCCAGTTAGTGTTTTTGTTTTCTTTGGATAAATACACTGAAGTGGAATTGCTGGATCCTATGGTAGTTCTATTTTTAATTTCTTAAGGACAGTGTTCTTTTCTTGACTGCTTTTGTCCAGGGCTACGTAAATATGTTGCTGCAAGTATATGAATGATGTAGGTTAAAATGGATTTCAGATGGGTTTTCTCTTGGGTGTAAATTCTAGTCAGCTATGGGGCGCCTGGACAACACAGTCGGTTAAGCCTCCGACTCTTGGTTTTGGCTCAGGTCATGATCTCAGGGTTGTGAGATTGAGTCTTGTGGTGGCTCTGTGCTGAGCGCAGAGTCTGATAAAGTTTCTCTCACCCTCTCCCTTTGCCCCTCCCCGCCTTGCTTGTTCTCTCTCTCTCAAGTAAGTCTTAAAAAAAAATTCTAGTCAGCTGGTGATGGCAGCTGAGGGAGCTGTGCAGTTGGGATTCTAAGACCAAGTTTTGAGCTGTGGGAGAAAGAAGGCCATATTTGATTATTATCATTATTATTTTTCATGTTTGATTATTATTATCAGAGATAAACCCAGCATAGTGATGTGTTGGCATGCCAGCCAGATTTCTGGTATTTGTATTCTAGACTATTACAAGGAAGGAAATCACAGGGACACAGAATACATGTTGAGAACAGATTTGGAAATGTTGTTTTTTGTTTTGTTTTGTTTACTCTCATTCCAGTCTATTTCAGAATTTTTTTTTTTTTTTAAAGATTTATTTATTTTGGAGAGAGAGAGAGAGAGTGCAGGGAGGGGCAGAGGGAGAGGGAGAGAGAATCTCAAGCAGACTCCCCACTGAGCTCGGAGTTCTACCTGGGGCTAGATCCCAAAACCATGAGATCATCACCTGAGCCAAAACCAAGAGTCAGACACTCGACCGACTGAGCCACCCGGGCTCCCCCAGAATAGATTATTCTTGATCTAGAGTCCTTTTACAAATTTCTAGTCTAGATAATATTCATCATAAAATAAGCCTTTTAAACATTTTTTTCCCCTAAATTTCTGAGTCTTCTTGCCCCTAGAACCTTGTTTTTTAGGCATCAGAACTCAACCCATCTAGTCCATATCAGGACAGCCTTTCTCTTTTATTATAGTCAGTTCTGTCCTGAGATGTCACTCTAATATACTTAGGCCCAGGAAGGCTTAAATGCACTGCTGTGGCAATGTGTGCATTTATTCCTTATCATTTCCACTATCCCACTGGAGGATGTGTCTGATAGTCAACTGTGTAGGCATCTTTCTCTGTGTCTTCTGAGCTTTGACTCTTGCTGTTGTAGGAGTTTTTAGGGCGTATGGTTCACTGGATTCACAGGATAAATCCTTTGCATCAAAGCATGAAGGCTGTTTAGTTCCTAGATCTGGAAAACTCTTCTTGTGGATCATCGTGGAGTTAGTTTCAGTGGTTCCTTCTGAACCCAGGGGCCTTACTCAATGGTTTTCTCTTAGACCTTGGGAACTCTTACTTGGCATTTTCTGGAACTCCCAAGATAATGGAGGGAAAAAATGTTAAGTGTGTACTGTCTTTTAAAATGTACTTTTTAAATCCATAAATAATCCCCAACCCCTCCCCCCCCAAAAAAACCCTTGTAAAGTAGATATGTCCATTTTGCTGATGAAGGCATTTAATTTCAGAGTTTAAGTAACTTGCCCCCACAGGCGACTGGTAGAGCTAAGATTTAAAACTTAGGGTCCTTGACCCTGAGCCTGGTGTTCTTCCCCTTTACCAGGCTCTTTGAACAAGCATCAGTCATCCTGAAAAGGGAGTGACTGCTGATCTCTCTTGTACTCAGTTGTAGTTGTGAGCTCCTCAGTCTTACCTGTGGGCCCCATTGGCCTACCACAAGTTCAGGAACTAGCTTCTCTGCCTCCTGGATCATGTCTCATTTGGTAGAAACCTGGAATCCAGCTTCAGGGTGTGCCCTTGGCTTGTGAGGAAAGAACACTCACATTGTTAATAATAGCAACATGAGTGAGGCCCTGCTGGGCTCTTTAAACATGCTATCTTATTTAATTTTCTTAATAATCCATTGGGGTTGGTACTTATTTTATTTTATTTTATTTATTTATTTATTTATTTATTTATTTATTTGATTTATTAATTTGACAGAGAGAGACACAGTGAGAGAGGGAACATAAGCAGGGGGAGTGGGAGAGGGAGAAGCAGGTTTCCCGCTGGGCAGGGAGCCCAATGTAGGGCTCGGTCCAGGACCCTGGGGCCATGACTTGAGCTGAAGGCAGA